GGCGTCGGCCGGGCGCTGCGGGCTCGCGCCCTGCCCCCGACCAGCCGGACCGAGAGCCCTCGCCCAGCCCGTGGGCAGCCAGCCCCCTGCAGCCCCCGCTAGTGCCGGGGGCGGACCCGGGCCTCGTGCTCTCCGTGGGTCGCCTTGGTGACTCCTAGGAGGCAGCACTTCCATTTTCCCGTTATTAAGGGGGGTAACGGAGGCACAGAGAGGGCGTTCCCGTACCCAGTGTCACACAGCCAGGCAGTGGCTGACGTGGGATTCGAACCCAGCTGGGGGTGACTTGGGAGTCCTTCCGCTCTCCCTTCTCGTTCATGGTCCCAGGAGGTTCCCCAGAGGTTGGTCCCCCTTCAGCCTGGGGCTGGGGCAGGCCTCCGTAGGCCAGGGCAGCTTCCTCCCTTTGCCCTCTGCAGCTCCCTCCTACCCTTCCTGTTTACGGCTGAGAGATTGCTGAATCCCAGGAGGGCGGGGAGGGTGGAGTCTGTCTGTCTCTGGCTGACACCACAGGCATTGGGTGCTGGGTTAGGGATGGAAGGGCTTCAGCCTCATTTTGCAGAGGAGGAAACAGGCCCAGAGCATCTGGGATCTGGTGCAGAAGTTGCTAGCATCATGCTGGGTATCCTTTCTGGGCCACTTTCCCTCACTGGGCTCAGTTTCCTCCTGTGTCCGGGAGGGGTCTGTAGTGTGTGCCTATCCATGGGATAAGGTGGCAGATCCCCGACAGGAGATGAGAAGACGAGGCTGAGGCGGCCACCCACCTGCCCATCTCAGTGGCTGTCCCCAGGAAAGTTCTCCATCTGGCTGTGCCAGGCCTGGCAGGGCCCTGGACAAGGGACATAGGACATGGCGGCAGTCAGGGGATACAGACTTTGTGTCTGGAGGTCTGAATGCCTCTCTGGTGCTGTCACTTCCCAGCTGTGTGACTGTGGCAGGTTGCCTAACCTTCCTGAGTCTCAACAAAAGGGGAGTCATCATGGGGGCTGCCCTGAGCGCGGGGTGTGAGGGTTCAGAGAGAATCCAGGGACGCCCTCAGCACAGGGCTGGCCAGGTGGTGGAGCTGTGTGTGGGTGCTGATGGCTGTCCTGGGCAGAGCACCATGATGGTTGCGGGTCCTGGTCCTGACAGAGTGGACAGCTGGGCAGATGAGACCCACATTGTAGAGACAGGGGCCAGGTCAGGCAGTGTCCAGCAAGAGGGGGCTCTGGGGGAGGGCTTCTGAGAACGTGGACAGGACACTCTGTGTTCTGGATCTCTCTGGCCGGGCTCTGCAGACCCGGGGCAGCGGGGGCTGAGAATGGCCCATCCAGTCTCCGTCCAGCTCTGTGCGGGGCTCCTAGCTGGGGCCCTGTGCTCCGGGTTTGCGTGTCCTGGAGTCGGATTCTTCTACCCCCAAGGGGGGAGGGACTGCCGCAGCAGGGTGCCCCCAGACCCCAGTGGACCCTGCCGTCAGGTCCTTCAGACTCAGCCCCACCTCGTGGGCCACAGCCAGGGAGTGAGGATAGTCGTTTTCTCGTTGCTGGTCAGGGACTCATCCTCTTACTGGTTTTGGAAGAGTCAGAGGACAGGGATTGCTATGCTGTAGAAGGGGCTTTAGAATAATAATAATAATAATAATAGTTATACTACTACTAATAATAATTATAATAATGTCCCAGACAGAGGAGGGTGCTGGCTCTGGGTGACGCAGCGAGGGGTGATGGCAGAGCCAGGACAGAGTCCGGTCTGCTCCCTCTGTCTAGGGTCCCCCACGTCCCCGATTGGTCCCTGGGCCCTGCTGCATGAGCCCTGAGGACAGGGGCAGCGGCCTCCCTGGGGATGGTGGGCAGTGGCCCAGAGCTCTGCCAGGTGCCCGACCTGCCTCTTCCCCACCTCTGGCCCCTCTGCTTCAGAGGTGTGCACGTCTGCTTTCTCTCGGTACCGGGGAAGGGCTGTTTCGGCAGCGCTGGCCCCACAGGACCATGTGTGAAAGCAGAATCTTCAATGGAAGTGGAGACCGGGCTGTTCGCCTCATTTCCAAGCCCTGGTCTGGGAGCTGCTGGGGCTGCAGACGGCTCTGCTCCCCAGGGGCCCGGGCTGCCTGGACTGCTCCGTCTCCTGGGCCTCGGGCAGTGGGGTTCCTCTGTCGCTGTGAGTGGCAGCTCCTTGTGCCTTTCTTCTCCTTTTGTGTCAGGCAGTGGCTTCTGCAGCGAGGCCACAGAGGCCGCACTTGCCCTTGAGGTGGTTGGCAGAACCCAGGGCTGCGGTGACTGATGGGGTGTGCGGCTTGTGGGTCCGGGACGGGCGGGGGCCTGGGGTGCTGGGCCAAGGCTTGCGAGCTTCCTGACTTGTCCCGAAGGCCACTGGTAATAGGGAGCCTGCCCAGCCCATTGGGGCCCCATCCCTTCCTCCTGTGCCCTGAGCGCCCTTCGCTGGTTGGGGAAGGTGGCAGAAGGGTAGCAACAGCCTCCCGTTTACTGAGTGCACTCTGTATGCCAGGCCTGGCCTGGGGACTCTCCTGCGCTTGCGTTGCCCCTCACGGTACCCTCTTGGGGGCCCAGTTGGGTGGCCATTAACCCCCCCATTTGACAGAGGGGGAGATGCACAGAGAGCTTAAGCCCATAGCCTGAGGCCCCCAGGCCCACAGGTGGGGGAGCCAGGGTCTGAGCGCTCTGAGTCTGCCTCCGGGCCTCGCTCGTGCTGCGTGGCCTCTACCACTGTGTCCTGGGGGCAGGAACTGTGGGGGCGGAGCTGGGCCCGGAGCCCCATGCACGCAATGAAAAGACCGCTTACCTGTTCAGACCCTGCCCCACATGGGGGACACAGCACCGAGGGGGGTCCTGTCTTCTGTGTGGGTGCAGACATGGCGCAGAGTGCGGGACATCTTGTTCCAGAACCTTGGAAAAGAGCGCAGCCAGGTTCTTTCCCTGATCTCCTGTATTGGGTGAGCACCACATGATCCCCCTCGTCACCCGATGTGTCCTCTCTGCCCGCAGGTGCCGAGGCCAGGCGGGCTCTGCGCTTCGACCAGGCTGTGGTCTTCATTGAAGACGCGATCCAGGTGGGTGGCGCCTGCTCCGAGTGGCTGGGCCTGGGCTTGTCTCTGGGTCTTGTGGGGACTGGTGGTGGCTGCCCCACCGGCCCCTTCACTCCTCGCCGTCCTGGGGCCCAGGCTGTGGTTGCTGGACTGTGTGGTCAATGTAACGCTGACTGGCCCTTGGGCCCGTCTCCTCTCTAAAGGAGATGGGTGCTGGGCGCTCTTCTTCTGAGTCCCAGAATCATTCTTTTCGTTGATTTACTGCCTACTGAGGGCCTGTTGTGTGCCGCCCTGTTCTGGTCCTGTGAACGATGCCCAGAGATGGCAGGACCGTCCCCTGCCCACAAACGACACACACGCTCCAAGAGGGAAAGAGAATATGGAAGCGAGCAGTGTGCCACATGTGGGATCAGGCTGGGGGGCGTCCTGGAGGGGGACACAGTCAGCCTCGCAGAGGAGAGAGCCTTGTGGGCAGACAGAGGGCACGGCTGTGTGTTCGGTGCGCCTTAGGCCTGTCGTGGGGAAGGTTGGCCTGCACGTGGCTGGCTGTGCGGCGGAGCGCTGTAGGGACCCCTCACACTCCCCCGTGTGTTCCTTTCACTTCCAGTATCGCTCCATTCACCACCGCGTGGACGCCAGCTCTTTGCGGCTGTACCGATGGTACTACTCGGACGTGTGCCAATGGTGAGAACGCTCACGTGGAAGGCGGGGTTCCCGTGGCCTTCCGGGGGCGGGGGGCAGGTCTCAGGGTCCAGGCAGGCTCCCCCTCCCCATGGTGGAGAAGGAGGTGCTGTTTCCCCTCCTCGTGGGAAAGGAGCCCAGCCTGTACACAGAAAGTCTCCTTTGGTGCTGAGGGTTCCTTTTCAGAACATTCCGGTCAGCCATGGCAATTGAGTTTCGACCCCATTAGTGTTATCTGACCACACACGAGTAGCCACAGGCTGGGAAGTATGGGCTCTGCCCTTGGGACTCGTGGAGTCTGTCCTGCTCTCCAGGCATTCTGCCTGCTGGTCTGCGTTGTGGCCCCAGAGTGCGGCTGGATCTTGCATTTTAACCAGTTTTTGTCCCTTTTCCAGGATTTTGAGCTTGACCATTTTCTTGATCCTGTCTTTGGCTTTCATTGAGACCCCTTCCTCGCTCACCAGCACCTCGGACGTCCGCTACCGCTCGGCCCCCTGGGATCCGCCCTGCGGCCTGACGGAGGGCGTCGAGGTGCTCTGTCTGCTGGTCTTCGTGGCTGACGTCACCGTGAAGGTGAGGTGGGCGCTGACAGCTGCCGGAACCCGGGCCCTGGCGCCCCCCGCCTGTCTGCTCCTTTCCTGGTTGACTTGTACGCTTCTGGAGCCGGCTGCCTTTTCTCCCAACTGTACTTTGACCCTCTGGGCAGAGGCCTGGGTGTCTTGGAGAATTCTGGGCCTGCAGCAGAGGCTCTGTCAGCTCCACTTCCTCTCCAGAGTGTAAACTGAGTCAGAGTGTAAAGTGGAGCCATCGAGGGCACATAGCCTTGCAAGACCTCTGGGACTGGCCGGGGGTCTGGCAGTGCCCCTGGGACAAGAGACCCTGACCGAATAAGAGAGGACTGGTGGTCTCCCTCACGACCCCCCCTCCTGCCCCCGAGAGAAGAGAAACATAGGAGGCGAGGAGCTGGGCCTGGGGTTGGGGGGGTCTGTTGCTCATGCTGCTGTGTGTCCAGCTCTGGCTTCTGTTTGTGACTTGAGTCTTTGCAGCAGCTGGAGGTGGGCCCTGCCCTGCTCATTGGGGCTTCTGAGCCGTGTCAGCTTCAGAGGCTTAGCGACTTCCCAGTGAGATGCAGAGGGGCTGGGTCTTGCTGTGGCCACATGTTCTGTTACGTGTGTCAAACAACAGCGATTTCAGTGCTCCAGTCCCGGCCCCATGTCCACATCCCCGGCTCCCGAGCGCTGGGCTGCACCCTGCCCGCAGGCCCGGCCGGTCACGGTCACAGTCGCGGTGCCCGCCCGGCAGCCCTGCTGTGGGAAGGGTGGTTTCGCACCTCTCTGTTCTGACCCTGAGGGGCTCGGGTGAGCGTTGGTGCGGATGTGACTGAGGGCCCAAGGCAGTGTCTTGTTTCTTCGTCTTCAGCCCATACTGTGGTTAGCGGGTCTGGGGGCTTTTAAGGTGGAACTGAAACTAGTGAGAAGTTCTTATTAGCGTTTATTGAATGGTCGGTCCATTTGGGGAGTCTCCAAAGGTGAGAGAGCGCACACGTTTTTATCTACAGGCCGTGACCTCTGGAGGCCTTAGTGATGGTGGGAGACGGGCCCTGAGTCTGTGCTTGCTGTGTTTCCTGGTCTTTTCCAGAATGGTTCTCATGCACAGGTTAAATTGATGGTTGGGTAGGCAGAGTGAGTGGGCAGGGACCCCTCTTTCCGATGAGAGAACTGAGGCCGGAGTGGTTCAGTGCCGAGCCCGAGGCCACTAGCTGCCCGAAGTCACCAGCAGGCTGGGCGAGGAGTGTGGCCACCTGACTGCTGCCCAGTTCCTGCTCCCCGAGTCACGTGGAGATGCGCTGCTCGCCGAGGCGCTCTGCTCTGGCCGCGCCAGCCTCGCCTGTGTGCGTGGACGGACGGTCTCAGGCTGGCTGCAGGGCCGGTGCCTGTGTGGCCACCTGCCTGCTCACCCGCCGCCTCTCTTGCAGAGCTACCTGGTCGGGTGGGCTGAGTTCTGGAAGAATCTGTGGCTGCTGGCCTACCTCCTGGTGCTGGTCGTGTCTCTCCTGGACTGGCTTGTGTCACTGAGTCTCCTCTGTCAGGAGGTAGGTGGTGAGGCGGCTCTGAGGCGGGAGTGGGGAGCTCTGGGCGGGCTGTGGGGTGCAGCCATCCCGGCGAATAGTGGGCAGGGGTCCTGAGGCCCCGCAGCCATCCTGCCCACCTGCCCAGCTCTGCCCACCTTCCATACCGCTGCAGTCACCCATTGGCCAGGAGCCTTGTTCCCGTCTCGTGGATGAAGACACTGAGGTCTAGGGAGGCACGAGGAGCTGGGAGCAAGTTCCAGGACTCCTGATTCCTGCCTCACCATTTTTAGTGAATTCCTCGACGGGCTGGGTCCCCCATGAAAGCACCCCCAAGACCTCACCCAAAGGACACATCCAAAGCCCTGTGAGGCCCGACAGTAAGAAAACCCATGTCAGCTGCCGGTCCTCTGTCCTCTCTGACCGCAGCATCTTTGTTTCCCCTGAGACACCCAGAAGCACGACGTGATCTGATAGGACAGGGCTGGGAAAGTTGGTTTGGGGCCATCCGTATCCATCAGGGCCGGCCACAGACGCCCATCAGGTCCTTTAGTAGAGGGAATTTCGTATGGGGACTTAGACGTGTGGAGGAACCGGGAAAGGAGAAAGAGACCCAGTGGACACAGAGCTGCAGGAAGCAGCCCCACCCCGGGCTGGGGGAGAAAGGGAAGAGCGGGCTTGTCGGGACCTGGAAGCCCAGGGGAGGGGCCCCCGGAGCTGGGACCCTGCCCTCCGACCTCTGAGGAGGGGGTGCTGTCTGGCGGGTGCTCGAGGAGGTTGGTTCTGGGGGTGCTGAAAGAAGGGGAGGCTGGAAGCCCCGGGGCCCTGCGGTAGGAGCCGCCAGTGATCAGAAGGGAGCAGGCCCACCTCCCTCTCCTGGCTCCGGCCCCTGTCTGAAGCGGCGTTGGCCCTGAGGCTCAGACGGTGGTCCTGGGAGCGGCCTGGAGGGCAGGGCGGGCAGAGCCCTAACCTGCCCACCTGTCTGTCCAGTGAGGACAGATGAGTGCCCTGCATGGGGGAGGGGCCCATGTCACCCACCCACCAGGGGCCACATCGGGGCCGGTGCTGGCTCGCTTCTGGCAGCAGTGGTGGCCTTGAGGGGCTCCACATGGTTGGCCCCGGGGGTAGCCTCCGTCCCTGCCTCCATGGCCACTTTGTGTGTGGCCCATGAAGATCGGAGCAGGTGGCCGAGGGGAAAGGCTCAGGGGCATCACGGGACATGCCATCTGTCCCGAGAACCTCCTCTTGGGGGTACCCTGTGGTGGGCGTTCACCCTGCCTGTCCACACGCGTCCTCCCCAGACCTCATTCCCAGCGTCCAGCCTGTTCTTTCCGCACCCCTGACCACCTACCCGGGAGTTGTTACCTTTCAGTCCAGACGGGGAACCCTGCCCACTTTCCCTCCTGCGCCGTCACTCGGGGGCTTTGCTGATTGAGGCTGTAACGCCAGGTCTGGTCCACTTCTGCTTGGGGCCGCCCAACACCCAGAGCCGCCTGCAAACCAGGCCTGAGGTTTTCCTCTGTGGCCAGCTGGCCGATCCTGAGAACTCCCAGGGGCATGGGGCGCCCGTAGGGAGGACCTGCTCAAGCCTGGCGTCTCATGTCCGTTTCTACCTGATGGGGTGCTGCTGCCCCCAACCTTGTGGCTGGGAGGGGCAGATCACACGCAGGCGCTGGTCACCTGACAGGCCGTGGTCACTGCTCTGGCTCTGCCGCGGCTGTTTCTCACAGGACGTGCGTTATCTTCAGATCGGTTGGTAGCTTTTTCCTAAAGCCTTGGGGGCCAGGGCTGCAATTCTTAACTGGCACTGGGCCTAGTCCTCTCTGCAGGCGAGTCCCATGGATGCCCTGTCCCCTCCTTCATAAAGGCTGCATGGCCCTGTGTCCGTGGCACGGATGTGGCCCCAGCATTGGGCAGGCCCTTGGTGTGGTGGGTTACTGTCTGGGAGAAGCTGCGCTCTGGTCAGTGTCTGACCACAGGCGAGGGTCCAGACCCTGCGTGGGGGCGCCGGCAGGATCTTCAGCTCCTGCTTGACTAAAGGGGCTGGCTGAGACCCTGATACTGGGCCTGAGGCGGGGCCTTCCCTCCAGTGGCCAGTGAGCGGCTTCTGGGTGAGCTGGGGGCCTGGTCCTTCAGCCCTCGGGGGCAGGGGGCAGAGCCCTGAGTGGTGTCCCTTCATCACTGTTTCCTTTGGCCTTCTGAGTCCCGTGCTGGGAGCTGGGTGCCCTTCTGAGGATGGGTGCAGCTCGAGAGGTTGAGTGAGTCCTCGGGATAACGCTTCTGTACACATTCTGGAGGGCCTGCTGTGCGCTCGTGCTGGAGGGACCTTATTCTGTTGCGACTGGGAAACAGCACATACCTAATAGGATCCCAAATTGCGACAGGTGCTGTGGAGGGGAGGAACCCGGGGCAACACTGCAGGAGGTGGCATTTACGCTGACACGGAAGGGACGGGCACACCGGCCAGCTGAGCAGACGGGGGGGTGGAGCGCTGCAGCCAGCGAGAAGGCAAGGGGCAGGCCCGGGACGGGTGGAGTGGGCCTCAGGCAGCCGTGGAGCGCTTGGGCAGGGAGGTGACACAGTCAGCCTTGTGTTTCTAAGACGAGATGTCCAGGGGGATGAGAGTCTGGAGTTGAGAGCTTGGATTGGAGCTCGAATGTGGAAGTCTAGAGCGTAGACCTGGTGCTTAACATCGCAGGGACCGACAGGTACCCCAGGGCGTGGGCCAGAGTGGAGTTGAGGGGCTCAGGGCCTCCAGCACGCCGGGTGAGGCACGGATGAGGGGCCTGAGGGCCTGCGCGGAGGGAGAGGCAGCTGTCTGTGCTGAGGGCCAGGGGTTGGAAGGCGATCTTGGGCTCAGAGGCCTGGAGGTCCCCTTGGGTGGGCCCAGCGCCCCTGGACGGATTGGCTAGGACGGGGCAGGGACGCGTGGGGCGAGTGAAGGGGCAAGTGTCTTTGTTGTGAGTGGAATGTGTTAAAACATGGAGTGTGTTGATAGCGGAGGGGGAGAAAGGGCGCCTGAGGGAAGTCTGGGGGGGTCCTGAGGACAGTGTGGGGAGGGAGGACCCTTGTTTGCTTCTGACAGGAGTGCAGGGGAGGGAGGAGGTGTGTGTGGGTTGGTGTGTGTGTGTGTGTGCGCGTGCGCGGGCGTGCATGCTTGGAGGGTGCCCCGAGAGGCGCTGGCTGCCCCCTTTTCTGAGGTGCCAGTGGAGTCCGAGATGTGCCCTGGGGGGCTGTGGGGGTGGGTGTCAGGAGTGCAAGAGGACGGGGTGTCTGGGACTGGGAGGAGGCCCGAGTCTGCAGCAGTGGCCGGGAGCTGGGAGACGGCTGTGTGTGTGGCGGGGGAGGTGGGAGCTCTGCCCTGTCTGCCCACGACCGTCGTGGCCGCAGGGGCGGGGTGGACTGAGCCGGCTGTGCCTGGCGCGGTCTCCAGCCCGTCCTGTCTCGCAGCCCCTGCGGATACGCCGGCTCCTGCGCCCCTTCTTCCTGATGCAGAACTCCTCCATGATGAAGAAGACGCTGAAGTGCGTCAGGCGGTCGCTGCCCGAGATGGCCAGGTGGGCTCTCAGCGCCGGGCTGGCGGGCGGGCGGGCAGGGCCTCCTGCTCCCCGCCGTGTGGTTGGGGGCTGCCTGGGCCCCCTTCCTGGAGCTGTGGGCCGAGACCTGCATGCCGTCTGTGAGGGCGGCTGGATGCTTTCCCCCGCCTGGGGTGGTCAGTGGGTGGACATTCGGGGGGCTCTGTCCCGCACTCGTGCCCTGTAGCTCCGGCAGTCCCCTCAGCGGCCTTGCTGAGGACCCCACCCCTGCTCTATAGCTGCCAAGTCCTGTGGATGCTCCCCTCCCTCCTGCCCTCCTTCCGCAGCGCCCCCCCAGTTCCCCGCCCGCCCCTGGCCCCTCCTCAGAGAGCCAGTGCTCCCTCTGCCTCCAGTCCCTCCCGCAGCGGATTTCGTGACTGACCCCTCACCGCCCAGCCCAGATGGATAGAAGTGGCCTTTCCTCTCTGAGAGTCCCTGGGGTCCTCTGACACTGCTTCTGTGGGCCCCCAGGACATGTCCCCGGAGTTGCCAATTGTCCCTGCCAAGAAAGAGGGCTCCACTGGGCAAGGACCCCACGGGCGAGCTCGTGGCAGGTTCTGGGGAGGAGAAGGGACCTGCCCCAGGGGCCAGTTGCAGGGAGCTCTCTGGGCGGCCGGGTCAGCTGTCCCTGGACCCCGTCCCACTTGACGTGTGGGGTGTGCCCAGCGCTGAGTGCCATGTCTGTCTCCCAGTGTCCTGCTGCTGCTGGCACTCCACCTGTGTGTCTTCACCATGTTCGGCATGCTGCTCTTCACCAGAGAGAAGGTACCGAGCTCCCTGTTCCCAGCCCTGCGCCCCGAGGTCTGATTGACAGGTTAATGCGTGTGGGAACTCTGCCGGCTGGGTCTTGGGCCAGCAGAGGTGAGGACCAGGTCAGGCCGCCTGCTCACCTTGTCACCAGGGTCAGTGGTGACCCACCTAGACTCCAGGTGTCTTTCTTCAAACGGCCACAGCGTGCCACTGCGCCCCCTGCCAGGGCACCTGTCTGCCAGGGCCTCCTGGGCTCAGGGCTGGTCGGCTCTGTCTGCTCTCCCTCCCTCCCTCCTCTCTCCTTTTCCCTCCCTCCCTGTCTGCCCCCCTCCCTGCCTCCTTCCCTGCCTGCCCCCTCCCTCCCAGGCCGTTCACTGACCTGGCTTTCCCCACACCTGTCCTAGAGGCAGGCCCCCAGCCTGGCACTCAGGGCCATCGGGAGGGCCCCACTTATCCCTCCCTCACAGCCTCTGCCCGTCTCTGCAGACAGGCACCCCACCACTTCCTCCTTTCCCTCCCTGCCGGGGTCCCCTTCCCTGCAGCCCCCTGCTTCCCAGCCCCAGCAGCTCGTTGCCCTGTGGAGGTGTCTGTGCCTGTCACCCCGGCCCTCGGCGCCTGCCTTGTCCTCCCCGACCCCGTGCGTCTGTGGTCCTGTGTGTCTTTCCTCATGTCCTGGCCAGAGTCACTGTCCTCAGGGCTGGGGCCGTCCTGCATCTGTGTCCTGGCAGTGTGGCCGGTGCTCGGCCAAGGCTGGTCTTCATTGAGTTTGTGGCAACATTTGGGGTTGGGGTGGTGCTGTCCATGGGGGAAGACTGAAGACCGTCTCTTCTGACCCCGGGGGGAGCTGGGGCCCCCGTGTGTGTGTGTGTGTGTGTGTGTGTGTGTGTGTGTATGTGTGTGTCTGTGGGGGTGGGGGGCAGCTGGGCTGTGAGGTGGGACCAGACAGAACCTCAGGCCCCTCGTGACCGTCCGGTGACGCTGCCGTTGCTGCTGTTTTGCGGAGCCCAGGACGGGTGGGCAGGGTGCTGGGGGTGGGCCTCTGGCCTGGGAACACTGAGTGTCCCGAGGTGCCCAGAAGGGTTGGCTCCTCTGCTGGCTCTGTCTTCTGCCGCACGAAGGGGGACCGGGCTGAGGAGGGAAGTGTTGTGTCATCATGGGGCCAGCGGGCTATGTGTCTTGGTCTTGGTCTCGGTGAGAGTCCACTCCCCCGCCAGCGTTCAGAGGAGGGTGTGATAGCGGCCGACCTGTGAGCGTTCCTTGTCCTCGGCCCCCACAGGCCCCCTCCAGGCTGATCCAGAGAACAGGTCAGGAATGAGCGGCCGGGGATGCGCTGTGTCCCCCCAGGAGGGAGAGGGTGGGGACCCAGGCATGGACGGCCCTGCAGGTGGCCATGAGTGCCAGGCCCGAGGGCTGAGTTCTAGTGAGTGGTTGAATGAGTGGGTGGTCCTGGTCCCCCACACACAGACTATAGGGCAGGTGAGGCCCCCGAGACCCAGAGAGAGGGGGCTCTCCCAGGAGGGTCACCACCGAAATTCCTGCTCTTCCCTCCGCAGCGTGGTCCCCTGCTCCCCCCGCCCTGACCTTTGGCCTCGCAGCGCACAGTCCAGTGCCTGGCAGAGTCGGGCTGCAAGCAGGCTGGCTTGTACCCATGTGTGGTCTGTTGGTCACCAGGCTGTGACCCTCTCAGTCCGGCCGGCCGAGGGCTTTTCACGACCTTCCGAGCAGGCCTGCTCCAGTGGCTGCGTCCGTGTGGGTGTGCAGCCTCCCTGGACGCTGGCTCTTAGGCCTGGAGGCCCTGAGTTAGGTCCTGCCTGGCTGTGAGCACAGAGCCTGCTGGGAAACGATGGGGAGATGCAGGTCAGGGGCTGTTGACCCCACGGTGGATGGTCCCGGCTTGTTGGGTCCAGGTCCGGGGCCCGGGGCTCTGGCAGCCTGAGGCCTTAGCTGGTGGGGCGGAGGCCTGAGTGGCTCCTCAGAGCTGCCTGTCTGCTCTCAGCAGGACGATGGGCAGGACAGGGAGAGGCTGACCTACTTCCGCAACCTGCCCCAGGCTCTGACATCCCTCCTGGTGCTGCTGACCACGGCCAACAACCCTGACGGTGCGTGGGGGGCGAGGACGGGTGGTGGGGGCCAGCCCGGCCTGGGTGTTGGCTTGCTTAGTGCTGGGCCGCCGAGCCCGGGGTCTCAGGCCTTTCCGTCAGCAGGTGGAGGATAAAACGGGTGGCGTTGGCTTCCCTCTCTCCCTCCCTCCTTTCTTTCTTGTTTCTATTTTCCCCTTTTTCTCTTTTCTGTTCTCTTATGTACTTTTCTCTTGTTTTCCCATCTGGCTGTCTCACTCCCTCCTCTTGTCCTCTGTCCCCTTGGTCTCTCTTTCCCTTGTCTCCTGACTCCTCTGAGGAGCTAAAAGCCAATGGTGTTGTTAGGTGGTGCCGGATGGCGGTGTGTTCAGTGGGTCCCCCAGGCGGCCTCCTCTTGGGGGCCTGGCCACTTCCCCCTTTGCTCCCTGGCCAGCTGTGGGTGCGGCTCAGTGGCGATGTGTGTCGGAGGCCCTGGGTCTTTAGTGGCCAGACTGTGGGTGGTGCTGGTAGGGCCTCTGTCTGCTTGGGCTGGGGGTGTGGCCGGGATGGGGCGGCCGCAGTCCTCCAGGGCTTGGCTGTGTACCCTGGCTCGTGCCTTTCGTCTTGGACTCAGGATGGTCACCGACCGTAGAGACCTTCCCAGGAGGGCAGCCCTGGCGTCCACACCCAGGGAGAGCTGTGCCGTGGGACCCTGAGCCCTGTCCCCGCACGTCCTGTGGATCCTAGCGAGTCCCCCAAGGGAGAGCTGAACTTTCCGTCTGTGGGGAGTGGTCCCGGGGAGGCGGATTTCAGCTCAGCATCAGGGATGAGTGTCCTTGAAAGGTAGTGAGTTCCCCATTCCCGAGGGTGTGCAAGCAGAGGCGTGAGGATTGATCCGAGTTTGGACAGGAAGGCCCCTCAGCTCTCCCAGAGCAGAGCCCTCTCTACTGAGAAGGCAAACAGTGTGGGGTCACGATGGGAATCAGACTGAATGCTGAGGTTGTGAGCCTGTTTCAGTTTCTCCAAATTCTTTCTCTCAGTGATGATTCCTGCGTATTCCAAGAACCGGGCCTATGCCATCTTCTTCGTAGTCTTCACGCTGATAGGTGAGTCCAGGCGGGTCTGTGGGGGGTCGAGATTCTGCCCCCGTAACAGGATCCCGAACGCTCAGGGGTGGGTGTGCTCCCCCGACCCTGTGACATCACCTCAGTGTGCCCTCCCTGACCCTGTGACTTCATCTCAGTGTGGCCCCTGACCCTGTGACTTCACCTCAATGTGGCCCCCAACCCTGTGACTTCACCTCAGTGTGGCCCCTGACCCTGTGACTTCACCGCAGTGTGGCCCCTGACCCTGTGACTTCACCTCAGGGTGACATTCCTGACCCTGTGACTTCACCTCAGTGTGGCCTCTGACCCTGTGACTTCACCTCATTGTGACCCCCGGCCCTGTGACATCACCTCAGTGTGGCCCACCCCGTAATTTTCAGTCTGTGACCACTGATGATCTGTGTCCTCAGCGCCTGCAGCCGGGCAGGCCAGGTGGCACTCCCATTCGATGGCCGAGGACAGGAGGCCTGGGTGTTGAGTGGGTGCCCCAGCCCCCTCCCTGCTCCACCATTGTCCGGGCCCTTCTTGCCGGCTCCCCCGGGTTTGTGGTGCCCGTGTCGACCCTCTGGGCACCGCCCCCAGCTCTGTCCGTGACACAGTTGGTTTTGAGACGCGGCTGCTCCTTGCAGACTCTGCCCTCTGCCCGTGGTGGTCCCCCCTGACCGTGGCTGTTTCCTCTCACAGGAAGCTTGTTTCTGATGAACCTGTTGACGGCCATCATCTACAACCAGTTCCGGGGCTACCTCATGGTGAGCCCGTCCGCCGTCCCGGGCTCGTCCCTGCGTGGTGCTGCCCTGGAGACCAAGCAGGGTGTGACTTGAGCTGATCAGCCGGGTGGTCCTGAGGCCTGGCCAGGCCCCCCAGGGTGGGGTATGGGAGGGCTGTGGCCAGGACCCCAGAGGGTAGGGTGGGTAGAGGGCATGGTCCATGGTGGTCTCTGCACCGCCCTCTGGCTCCCTCTTGTGGGTGAGCGGGAGCTGTGTCATCCTGCTCCCTCCCTGTCCCCCAGGGGGTGAGGTCCCCATAGCCCCCAGGGATCCCTCCTCTCCCCACCTCTAGGGGAAAGCTGCAGGAAGATTGCAGCCCCCAAGGCCACTGGCCCCGAACCCCCTGTGGGCGAGCTGGGACCCCAGATACGGCAGGAGTCTGTGACTGTTCCTCTGATGCCCCAGGGGCCGCTCCCCAGGCTGTGGGTGGGCAGGGCGCCCTCAGAGGCTGCTCGGGGACGAGTGGACGTCCAGCCCGGGAGAGGGCTGAGCAGGGCCGCTCAGAGCCATCGTCCTCGCAGAAGTCTCTCCAGACCTCACTGCTCCGGAGGCGGCTGGGGACCCGGGCTGCCTACGAGGTCCTCTCCTCCCTGACAGCAGAGGAAGAAGCCCACCCTCAGAGGTGAGTGCGGGGCTCCTGGACCCCCTTCTCCCTGAGGAAGTGGGGCTGCTGCTCTGGGAGGGGAGCCGGGTGTTCATTAGGGGTGTTTCCTGGGCACGCTCTGGGCTGAGCTCCCCGCTGGCTGCCACCGGGTTCTAATCTCCATTGGACTCAGGGAAATGCCGGATCCAGGCACTCCAGGGTTTCTGTGGTTCTTGCATCTGAGTTCACTTGTTTGTCCCCGTGACCCCCAGAGACTCTGGGCTGGAGGGGCCGAGTGGCTCTGGCCTACTCACCCCACCTGCACCCTTCCCACACCCCTGTGCTGTCACTTGGGTGTCGGAACCAGAGGGGCCTGGGGCATATATCCACTCGGCTGCCTGGTTCTGAGTCAGTGTCAGCGTGGAAGGTTCCGGTTCTGACTGCTTGTTAACCGTGGAGCCTCTGACACCTCCGGCCTCAGCATGCTGCTGTTCAAGGCGGGACGCTCGTGTCGCTCGGGATTTTACACGACAGGATGATGTGAAGCTCCCATGGTCGGCTCCGTCGTGGAGGCCCTTGCGTGGCCCAGGGCTGCAGAGCTGATTCACGGCGCAGCTCAAGCCAGAGGTCGGGGCGCCCCCCCCGGGCTCACCGGGGTGTCGTGTTTCTCCCCACAGAGTCGGGGTGAAGCCCCAGGACTTCCTGCAGGTGCTTCAGAAAGTCCAGCTGGACAGTAGCCACAAGCAGGCCATCGTGGAGGTATCCGCCCCGCCCTCCGGCCTCCCCGGCTGGTGCTTCTGGGCACCTCCTGGAGGTCACGTGGGCCAGCAGCCCCTTTTCCGGTTGGGGGTGTCATTTCAGATCAGTGGGGCTGGCTGTCTGGGTGGGGCTGGGGCGGCTCCCCTCTGCTCTGGGCCATTCTCCCTTTGGCCGTGGCTGGCCCTGGCCGACCCTGGCTGACCTGTGCTTCCCTCCTTTGCAGGAGGTGCGTTCCTACGGCGACGATGTGCTGTCAGCCGACGAGTTCCAGAAGTTCTTCCACGAGTTTGACAGACGGGTGATTAAAGAGGTGAGGGAGCCGGGCCAGGGCACCTGCCCGGGCCGGGCCAGCAGGGCTAGTGGGAACCTTTCAGGGTCCGCTGACATTGACCACATGGGTGACTTAATGACCAGCGCCAGGACTCGCCTCCTTAGGGCTTCTGCTCCCAGGATGGTAAATGGGAACAGAGGTGGTTTGGCTCTTGGAAACTGGGAGATTTTATTGACCTCATGAAATGCACAGACCAGAGACTGGCCTGGGCCAAACCTGACCCAGGGGAAACTTCCGAATGGTTTTCTCCATCTGTGACAAACTCTCGTCCTCTTCCCGTGTGTCCCTTCTTGGGAGGTTCCTGAGTTTGTCCAAAGCCTTTTTTCTTGTCCCTGACACTGATTTGCAACAGGTGGGCCTGAGATCCAGCTCAGCCCTGTGTCCAGAAGACCCTAGACTGCCTACGTTTTACGCAGTGGGTTTCTGGGATATGGGCGGAGGTATTGGGAGACAGCCGAGGTGCTCACGGGCAGTTTGTGTGCAGAAGGGGTGCCGTTCCAGCCACTGGGCCTTGAGAGGACCAAGCTGGACCCTGGAGTGGGGATGGGAGTGAAGAGGTGGAGTCACACGTGTCCTGCTGGGCCTCACATCTCTGTGTCACTCTCTGTCAGTCAGCTCGGGCTGCAGCGACAAATAGTACAGACCTGGCGGCTTAAACCACAGACGTTGATTGTTTCCCAGTCGAGGTTGGAAGTCCAAGATCCAGGCGTGGGCAGGGCTGGTTCCTCCTCTTTCCTTGGTGTGGAGACAGCCGTCTTCTTCCTGTGTCCTCATGTGGTCGTCCCTCCGTGTGTGTCTGTGTCCTGATCCCTTCTTCTTATAAGGACCCCAGTCACACTGGATTTGGGCCCACCCCAGTGACCTCATCTTACCTTGATCACCTCTTTAAAGGCCCTGTCTCCAAATAAGGTCACATGTGGAAGTACTGGGGGTTAGGACCTCAGCATACAGATTTTGGGGAGACACAGTTTAGCGCACATCATCTGTCAACTTCTCCAGGATTCGCTGGCAGCCCTCGTGGCCTCAGGCTCATGTCGGAGGTGGTTTTCCTAAGAACACATTTTCCTGAAGTCTTTCCGGGTCACCTGGAGCCAGGCCCTGCTTGGCCGGTTGCCCCGAGCGCCCCATGCTTGTCCCTTCTCAGTAGTGTTCCTCCGGGTGGCGCCCTCCACACCCCTTGGGGCACGGGGGATGGTCGTAGGGACAGACAGGCACTTTGTTAACACCCATCACGCTTCTGCTTGGTTCGAGGCTGGGCAGTGGACTGTCCCCTTCAAGGTGACTTGAAGGGAACGTTAAGTACTTGCCATCAGGTCTTCAGACGACAAATGGTTCTTGCAGGAGGTCTGCCGGGCCCGGGAGGCAGCTCTTGGCGGCTGCTGTGGGCCTGATTTGCTGTGGTCGGCCCTTTTCCAGGTGCAGGCCGGCCTGGGCAGGGTGAATTGGGAAAGGTGGGCTCCTTTCTCAGGGTTTGCTCGCTGGTGTCTGCTGGGCCAGCGGGCTCTGCCTGGACAGTTGCCTGCTGGCCCGTAGGACACTGCTGGGTCCGGGTCATCCAAAACCGACTCTCTCCCGCTCTGTGCGTAAGACTGTTTCTGTGTTTGGGATGATTTCCTTAGGCCGGGTAGACCGGGAGAGGAGGTAAGGTAGGAAAGAGTCGAGTCCTGGAGTAAGGGGGCGTGGGCATTGTTGGGCTCCCCTTGGCCCCGGCCGCCTGCTGGCGGGTGTGTCTGACCACGTGTTTCCCTCCCCAGCCCCCCCCGCAGCCCGAGTACCGGTCTCCGTTTCTGCGGAGCGCCCAGTTCTTCTTCGGCCACCGCTACTTCGACTACCTGGGCAACCTCGTCGCCCTCGGAAACCTCGTGTCCATTTGTGTGAGTGCGGGTTTGCCCTCGTGTTGACGCAGGAGGCGCCTCACGTCCTGGCCCCTCGCTCTCACGCCCGCCCTTCCTCCCAACCCCCCGACCGGGGGCCTGCGTGTCCCTCCAGTGCTGGGCCGGGCTGGTGAGCCACCTTCTGCGCTGGCCTTGCAGGCATTCCTGGTGAAAGATGCAGACGTGCTGCCCGCTGACCGTGACGACTTCGTCCTGGGGGTGAGCTCTGAGGACGCTCGCCTGCTGGGCCTTTGTTGGGGTGACGGAGTCAGGAAGAAGAGCACAGCCCCCAGCTAGTGCTCTGGGTCCCCCCTAGTCTGGGGCTCTGGGTCTGGGGGGAGACAGGGCCATCCTAGTGCAGAGCAAATCATCCCGTCAAGGGGGTACACCAGAGGGGGAGGTGCCGGGCTGTGGGAGGGGAGGCTGGGACGGGCTGGAGGGAGGCAGAGGGTGCGACGAGCAGAGGCCCCTGGTGAATGAGGGTGCAGATGGGCAGTCAGCTTAGTGGGGCGGACAGTGGAGGGAGGGTCGTGTAGAGAAAGACCCGAGGAGGCAGCACAGGTTCAAGACGCCCTGCCCCGGCCTCCTTTGGGCCGATGTGAATGACCGAATGGCCACATGGGCCCTGTGGCCAGTGGGTGAGGTCGGGGAGGCCGGCAGCACGGGGACGAACCCCGGGTGCCTGTGTCCCCCTTCCAGATTCTGAACTGCGTCTTCATCCTGTACTACCTGCTGGAGATGCTGCTCAAGGTGTTTGCTCTGGGCCTGTGGGGCTACCTCTTCTTCCCCAGCAACGTGTTCGACGGGCTCCTCACCGTCGTCCTGCTGGTAAAGTCTGAGGGGCCGAGGTGCCAGCCTCTCCGGGCGGGTGGTGTGTGCTCTGATCCGGCTCTGCACTGCGTTCTGTCTCAGGCTGCCCCTGAGGACCAGAGGGCTAGGGGAATTTGGGCTCCTACCTCCAGTGACAAAGGGGCTGCTTTTCTCCCAAATGAGCTGCTTGGCGGGTGGCTGGCAGGGGCTGTAGGAGTCTGGGCTTCCCCTGCATCTGAGCGTCGTGGGGTGCGGGGGCAGGCTGCCTCTCCTGACCCCTGAGGGAGGCCTGGAAGGAGCTTGCAGCCTCGCTGGCTAAGCCAGTCCCACTAGGACAGTGGGACCTTGACCTGGGGGAGGGCCGGGCTGGGGCGCCGCAGGCACCCGGTGTCCTCGGGCAAATCTCCTTTCCCCAGAGCCTGTGGGTGTGAGGGGTCACACCCGGTGTGTGTCATGGCAGCGATATCGGTGCGACGTCTTTTCATATTGGACCGATTAGAGCCGTGGGCCCCCTGGGGCAGGCGCCAAGGTCGTCTGAGGAGGGCCGTTCAGTCTGCCTTGACCAAGTAGCTTCTGCACCCAGGACTTCCCCAGCCTCTCCCGTGTCCCCCTTCATGCGGGTGGGCCCCGATTCCTGAGACCAGAGTGTCTTTCTCAGCTGCAGGAAGTCCCGACGTTTGGAACCAACCCTTGGGGACAAGGACCGAGCCCTGATTTCTCCCCGAAACCCCCTTTTGGGGAGAACATGTTAGGAGTGAGCTATATAATTCACTTAAAAGCCGCCCAGATTAGCGTTGCTGTAGCGATGCCTTCTTTTCTTTTGTAATTAAAGGTTTTGGAGATCTCAACTCTGGCTGTGTACCGATTCCCACACCCAGGCTGGTATGTGACTGCAGAGAACCGAGGGAGGCTACAGCAACCAGCGTCCTGGCTAGCGCCCCAGGGGAGGGTCCTGCTCACCCTGATGCTCGGGGGCCTGTTCAGTCCATGAGGCTGCTCAGGCCCAGGGCCAAATACCTGCTTGTTAGGAGGGCAGGCTGTCGGAGCCTTGTGGGGACCGTGGGAGCTCACCCCTCCTCGTCGCTTTTGGGGATTCTTTCTTTAACATTTCTTAACTCATCTTTAGGATGATAGCATTCCCAGAGCTGTGACAGGCAGCTGGCCAGATTCCCCTCGAAGTGCAGCGGGCTCAGCCCCCAGCCTCAGAATGGGACGCGAGGCCGTAGGTGTGCTGGGGGCTGGAAGCAGAGCCGCCCGGCTCAGGGCTGGGGTGACCCGTGAGCTCTGGAATTAGGCTGGGCCCTCTGGGTCGTCACCTCCCACTCTGGGCGTCAGTTTGCCTCTCTGTAAGGTGGCAGGGGACGGGGCCCGGGGCTCACTGAACTCTCACACTGCTGTTGAGCCCCACCGTCCCCGGTTCTGGCCGTGCAGAGGGATGGACGTCTGGGCAGGGGTGCCAGCGTGCCTCGTGGCTTGGCTGGTGGCAGCCTTCGGGTCACGCTGCCGCAGCAAGCACACGCGCCGGCCTCAGGCCCTCGGGCGGCCCTGGTCCCGGTGCCTCTGTTGGGCTGCTTTTGTCCTAGTGGGGCAGCTGGGAATTGGCTGAAGCAGGGAGTGGAGCCACCAGACGCCTGCTGTTTAGGGTCAGCTCCCCAGGGGCCGGCCAGGAGGGGTTGATTTTGGGGAAGATGGGCAGGGCTGGTGTGGTCCTTGGTGGTGAGCCGGGGCCCGGTGTGAGCCCCGCCCCAGGAGCAGTGAGGCCGCGCGGCCTGGGGACCGGCGTCTCTTGTTTCTAATGTGCCGTAAGAACCTGCGGTGCGCTTTGCCTAAGAATCGTGGGGTGACGTTTTGGGTGAGAAGGGTTTAAATTTAAATAGAAACGAGAGCATGGTAAGGCCACGAGGGCCACCAAGGGGATGGGGACAGGATGGGTTCAGGGTCAGGGGACAAGACACGTGGTTAGGGGTCAGGGGCCAGGGCTCTCCCCGTCCTGCTGGGACCTGAGCGGGGCCGTCCCGGCGTCTGGAACCTCGGTGGTGCTGTGTGTAAGCCGGGGGTCGGACAGCCCTGCCCCGCAGTGGGGCCGTGCCCTGGAAAGTGTCGCCGTGACCAGCGCTGCCCTGGGCGGCGGGCGTGGGCGGCTCAGGCTCTGCCCTGTTGCCACGGTGGAGCTTTTCTGGTTGGTGTCGGCTGCGGGGTACGTTCCTGTCGCTCCCTTTCACTCTCTGCGTCTCTCTCTCTGTCTCTGGACCCCGTGTCTCCGTGTCTTCTCATGCCGGGCCCCTCCTAACCCGGCTCCCGTGTGTCTCTCCAGGAGGCCGGAGACGCTGGGCCTACTGTCGCTGTGGGACATGGCGCGGCTGGTGAACATGCTCATCGTGTTCCGCTTCCTGCGCGTCATCCCCAGCATGAAGGTACGTGGGCGCGGCCGCCCCGCCCTCGCCCACCCTGCCGTCCGCTCACGCTGGTGCTTTGCCCTAAGGGCGGGTGAGCCTGGGCAGGGCGGGGGGACAGTTAGAAGCGTGAGAGCTGTGCAGCCGAGGGGAGCGAGGGCCAGTGCGGGAGGGACTGGTGTGACGCCCCTTGGCTGGTCGCAGCGGTAGCTTCTGGCTCCTTGGGGCTGCAGCCTTTGTGAGGGCCAGGGCTGGGGCCCTGGAATCAGCGTGTTCCCAGGTGTCCTGAGGTTTCTGAAAGGGCTCTGGGCTCCTGGTGGCTACTAGTAACGGGGGACAAAGGTGGGACTGGCCGGGGTGCTCGCCTCCGGGACCCCCACTGCAGGAGTGAGGTGGCTCATGACCACCTCCAGGTCTCGGTTTCTCTTAATGTGCCCATCGGGAGTGACACCTGTTGAGGGGCGGGAAGGTGGGGTGATCGGGGTGTTCAGGCCCAGCCCCTCTCGTCACGGAGGCAGAGTTTACTGTTCCCGTCTGTTTTCCTCAGATCTTTTTAGGAGAAATGAAGCCCGAGAACATCAGACCCCTTTTTGAGGGTCCAGGTCCTTCCCCTGTGCACGTCCATCCCTCCTGCCAAGCTGTGCACCTGTCCCATCTGGGGGGCCACCTGTTACCCAGGCGGCTCAGGGCTCCTGGGTGCAGTTGGGGCTGCTGCACCGAGGCCTTCATGGACGTCACACGCATGCACATGTGCTTGTACACGCATGCATGTACAGTCACGCAATGCACGTGATCACATACATGCGTACACACGTAATTACGTATCCACATAATCACACATGCGTAATCGCACACAACAATACAATCACATACCTACGAAACCACACACGTACAGACTCATACATGTACACGCAGCTAACACGTGCATATACACGTCATCATACATAGTTGTACACACACAACATAATACATGCAGTCACACGCAGTCATACATGTGCACACAACACACGTATACAGACAGAAATAATTGCACACATGGGTGTGATTATCTGTACACATGTACGCGTAAGTACACGTATGCACGTACGTATGTGTGCATAGTCATATGTGCGCGCGCACACACACACACAACCTGCCAGCATCCAGCATTCCCAGGTTCTTCTAACGCGTGAGTCAGGGTGGGTGGACTAACTGGAAGCCCTTCTCGGGGGCTCAGGTCTCACGTGATGGGAGCAGGCCTATAGCTGGTTCCTGGCTGGGTCTCTGAGGCCCCTTTTCTCAGACCGCATCATTAGGGGCTGACCTGGCCACCTCCAGGTCTGTATTTCTTTGGAGCCTTCCCAGAGGGGAGCTAACCCAGCTTGGGTCAGCGGGCAGTGTGGTCTGAGGTCCTGCACACGGGGCTTCGCCAAAGGGACTAGGAGCGAGACTCACCTAAGGCTGGGCAGGTGGAGGTGTCTGGATGTGTGGGGGCCTATGAGTGCATGTGGGCGGGTGTCTACAAGTTTGGGTGTGTGGGTGGCTGTGCATGTGTGTCTAGTTGGTGGGTGGCTGTGGGTGTGTGTACAGGTGTGTTGAGGTGGCTGCAGTGTGTGTATGGGTGTGCATGGGTGGCTGTGGGGTGTGTATGGGTGTGCATGGGTGGCTGTGAGTGTGTGTACGGGTGTGTTTGGGCCTCTGGGGTGTGTATGGGTGGCTGTGGGGTGTGTACAGGTGTATGTGGGTGGCTGTGGGGTGTGGACAGGTGTATGTGGGTGGCTGCGGTGTGTGCATGGGAGTGCGTGGGTGGCTGTGGGGTGTGTATGGGTGTGTGTGGGTGGCTGTGGGTGTGTGTACAGGTGTGTGGGTGTCCGTGGGTGTGTACAGGTGTGTGGGTGGCTGTGGGTGTGTGTACGGGTGTATGTGGGTGGCTGTGGGGTGTGTGTGGGTGGTTGTGGGTGTTTGTACGGGTGTATGTGGGTGGCTGTGGGGTGTGTACGGGTGTGTGTGGGTGGCTGTGGGATGTGTACGGGTGTGTGTGGGTGGCTGTGGGGGGTGTGTGGGTGGCTGTGGGGTGCGTGTGGGTGTGTGTGGGTGGCTGTGGGATGTGTATGCATGTGTGGGTGGCTGTGGGGTGTGTACGGGTGTGTGTGGGTGGCTGTGGGTGTGTGTATGGGTGTGTGTGGCTGGCTGTGGGGTGTGTATGGGTGTGTGTGGCTGGCTGTGGGGTGTGTATGGGTGTGTGTGGCTGGCTGTGGGATGTGTATGGGTGTGTGTGGGTGGCCGTGGGTGTGTATATGGGTGGCTGTGGGGTGTGTATGGGTGTGTGGGTGTCCATGGGTGTCCGTGGTTGTGTGTGGGTGGCTGTGGGTGTGTGTACGGGTGTATATGGGTGGCTGTGGGTGTGTATATGGGTGGCCATGGGTGTGTGTCTGGGTATGAGGGTTGGTGATTCACTGGTCCGTCCTGCCTTTCCGGGTCAGGGTCAGGGGTGGGCGGGGTCACCTTGCTGGGCCCAGGAGGCAGGGACTGCTTTCTCTCTGTCCTCAGCTGATGGCTGTGGTGGCCAGTACCATCCTGGACCTGATTAAGAACATGCGGGCCTTCGGCGGGATCCTGGTGGTGAGTCAGGTGGCCGCGAGGGCCTTTGGGGGAGGGCGCTCGAGCGGGAGCCGGGCCCCGGGAAGGGGTGCGCTGGCCGGGAGGCTCTGCAGGAGGGAGGCCCCGGGGTGGGGGCAGCAGCGGGTTATGCAGGCTGGAGGCCCGGGGCCGGGGCCGGGAGCCAGAGTGGCCCTTCGTTTCAGATCGAGGACCTCTGTGGGTCTGACCACCCGCCCTTTCAGGGCCAGAGATCCTTTCGGTCACTTGTGAATCCCTCACGTTTTCTGGGTCACGGGCCTCATTGAGAAACTGATGGAAAAAAGAGCAAGAGGCGCCAGGACCCCAGAGCCATGTGGACCCCGGATGGGGTCTCGGTCCCCTCTTGCTCAGAGGGATTTGGGGAAGTCCCACACCGCGATGTCCGCGGGGCCTGCCTTGCCCCTGAGGGGCTGTGGGCTCCGCCGTGCAGCCCGGCCCGGGCGGGGGCCCCGTGGGCAGGCGGGCCCTGGTGCCGCTCCAGGCGTGAGGCCCAGCGGACAGGAGAGAAGGTGGCAGAGAGATGAGGAGCTGCAGTGAGGCCCCCGTCTCCACGGTGCCGCCCCGGCACTCTTATCTCTTAGTTTGGCTACCCCGGTGGGAGGGGAGCCCCGTGGCACCCCAGGCCTGTCACAGGAGCCAGAAATAGAGTCTGGCGTCGGGCACTGCCTGCCCAGGCCCCTGTTTGCACAGTGGGGGAAACTGAGGCCAGAAGGGGGCTGGTTAGCCTGGGGTGTGTGCCCCTTTCCTCTCCGCCTGGGCTTGTTAGGAACAGGTGAGGGCCCCCCGGCAGCCGCCTCTCTGACTGGGGCACGAGGCTGCCCGGTGGCGCTCCCTGGAGGCCTGCGGGTGGACGTGGGGAGTGTGGCAGGATGGCGGGACTTCTTCCGGAGGGGCAGGGCCAGTTCCCTCCTTCCCTTCCCCTGGGACCGCCTTCCCCTGGTTCTCTTGCCCTGTTCTCAGTGGAGCCCAGGGGAGGGTCCTGCCCACCCCTCTTCCTGCCCTGCCTGTCCTGGAGGAGGAGCGGACAGCCTCGGCTTCCTTGGCTGGCCTCGGTCTTCCCCCCGGCCCCCAGTTTATCTTTGGGGCTCTCCTGGCAGCAGCTCCTCCCTCCTTCCTTCTGAGGCAGGTTGTCGGCTGCAGTGGGTGCCTGGGAGCGGAGCCCGGTGTCCCCGGGGAGGCCAGCAGTGCCCACAGTTGTGGTGGCCAGGGTGGGGGACCGCAGGCCTCAGCCTGGCTCTGGGGCCCGTCTGTGGGCGTGCGTGCGTGGTGCTGACTGGTGGGCCGCACCTCACTAGGTGGTGTACTATGTCTTCGCCATCATCGGCATCAGCCTGTTCCGAGGCGTCGTCGTGGCTCCTGGAAACAGCAGGTGAGGTGGCAAAGGAGGTGCCTCTAGGGGTGCAGGGATGGATGTGGGGTCAGCTCCCTAAGAGGGGGCCCCTGGTTCCTCTTCCTTTGCCTCCCTCTTTCTTCTCTCGCCTCTCCCCCCGCCACCTCCGAGTCTGCACTGAGAATGTTTCCCGTGGCCTGCTCAGAGCAGCACCCCTGCCCTTGTGCCCCTCGAGGGCCTTCAGGCCAGGCGGCGTGCTGGCGGAGGGTCGTGTATGCTGCAGGCCAGGACCGGAGAGCCCCAGCGGCCCTGGAGCTGCACGAAGGCTCCTCCTGCCTGGCTGGCTGCGGTCCAGGAAGTTCCATTTCTCGTGTGTCCACGGCTCTGGCCCCTCGCTGCCCGCATAACACCTTGGAGGTTGGGGGGCTTCTGTTTCCCCCTTTCTCAGGGGCCCAGAGGGGTTCCGCGCTGTGCAGGGCTGAGGAAGTGTTGGGCCCCCTGATGCGAGTACTGGGGGCCCCCTGACCCAGCTTGTCCTGTCCCCAGCCTGGCCCCAGCCAACAGCTCAGCGCCCTGCGGGAGCTTTGAGCAGCTGGAGTACTGGGCCAACAACTTCGACGACTTTGCGGTGAGTCCTGTGCCTCTGCTCCCCGGGCCCTGCGCCCTTCCTGGCCCCTGGCCCTCCCTGCCTCCCGCGCCGCCCTGGCCCCTCGCCCTCCTTGCCTCCCGCGCCCCCCTCGACCGTGTGTCTGCCGCCCCGCAGGCCGCCCTGATCACTCTGTGGAACGTGATGGTGGTGAACAACTGGCAGGTGTTCCTGGACGCCTATCGGCGCTACGCGGGCCCGTGAGTGACCCTGTCCTGGGGGCCCTCTCCCCTGTCGCTGCAGTGCATGGCGCACGTCCTGCGCCCCTGCTCGTGACCCTGGGTCTGCGCCTTCTGGGGCTCGCTGGGGGGCGTGTGGAAGGAGCAGACGGCTTCTGGGGAATTCTCCGTGACGGCGGGACCCCTCGGGCTCCTGGGGTCGGGGAGCCCCGGGGGGCTAAGTGAAGGAGTTCAGCCTGGAGCTTGAAGGGCTCAGACCGGCCCTGCACGTGGTCCTGGGTTCGAGTCCCAGCTCCGCCTCTTACTGGTGGTGCTACGCTGGCGACTCACTGGATGTGTCTACGCCGCGGCGTGGTCGCCTCTGAAACGGGAATGACAACATCGCGGGTTTACGGGGCGGGAGTCAGTGAGCGCTGTCCCATACGCGCGTGTTGTTCGCGTGATTTGAACGGCCTCACTCGGCTCACGGCGGGCCGGGCCGGCCTCCGTCTTGTCCCCTGCAGGTGGTCCAAGGTCTACTTCGTGTTGTGGTGGCTGGTGTCGAGTGTCATCTGGGTCAGCCTGTTTCTGGCTCTGATTCTGGAGGTATTGGCTCCCTGCTGGGGCTCTGCTCAGTGGTGATGGTGGGCGTGAGGCCACCCCGCCAGGCCAAGCTGGGGGGGCCGGGGAGGAGACCAGCTGGTTTCGCGTGGGGCCCACACCCACTGGCCACTCTGCCCCCCCCTCGTCAGAACTTCCTCCACAAGTGGGACCGCCGCAGTCACCTGCAGTCCCTCGCCGGGGCCCCAGAGGTCCCCTATCAGATGACCGTGGAGCTCTTGTTCAGGTGCGCGGGCGGGGCGGGAGGGGCGGTGGGTGGGCGTCCCATGACGGCGTCACTCCCCGCGCGCTCCGGGCCCCTGCCTCTCCCGCCGAGCCCCGAGCTGGGGTCGGGAGGGCGCCCTCTGTTCCTCCCGCCCGGCCGTGAGCTCCGCCCTGCTCTCCGGTGAGCATGTTTAAGGGAACAGCCTCAGGTCCCCTTAGTCTCCAGGTGACTGTCGGTGGACGGGGGTGGCCGAGGAGCCCTTGCCGCCTCTTCTCCGTGGTAACCTCGCTCAGAAAAGTGGCGGAGGTCCCGGAGACAGCCCAGCCTTCCCTCCACGACGCCTGCTGTGTGTCTGCGGCCCCATCAGCCAGCGTGGAGAGGCGTCCTCCCGGGCTGTTAAGAACGCCACGTGAACGTCCCCACGTGGATCTGAGTCCCCGTGTCCCCAGTCCCGGCTTTCACTTCTGCATGTGTCTGACGATTCGGGGAGTTCCTGGCGGGGCACTTACGAGGCTTTTCCCTGAGTTCTGCGCACTCGCTCTTCTGGAGGCGCCAGGGTCGTCTCTCAGGGCGCCCGTCCGTCTTCTCCCGGTTCCACAGGGATGACCTGGAGGAGCCGACGGAGGAGGAGCTGGTGGAGAAGCTGCGCCACCACCCGCACCTGCGACTGGGCAGGTGACGTCCAGGCCCCTTCCCAGCTGGGGCGCCGGCCGGGGACTCGGTCTCGGGACAGACGCCGGTCGGTTGTGGGAAGGGTGGGCTGCAGCCCGGAGGAGAGACATTCCCTTGGCCAGAAGCACTCCGCTCGCCTGAGGCTGGGACAGAGGACAGAGGCCCTGGGTCCCTGCCCAGCGGAGCCACCAGCACCAGCTTCTCTGCAGCATCTCAGAACAGCGACCCGCGCCTCGGGCGGCGTCCACGCCACTTTCTTCTGTAAGCTGCTGCCGTGGGACTTCCACTTTTCTAAACACCGGAAGAGGGTGATTCCACAGGGACCTTGAAGACAGTCTGAAAAGCGAGAAGCAGCGGCCTCCCCTCGTGCCCTGCGGTTTCCGTGGTGCCTTTGCTGCTGGCGGCCTTCAGGGACCAGGTGCCCACATGGGGCCTGCACAGGCCAGCTGGCAGCTTTCCAGGGCATGAAGTTTGGGGTCCTGGTGATTTTACATGAAGAGAATCTTGGCTATTTTATTTTATGGATTGTATGAATGTGATTGAGAGTGTGTTTCTTTATGGGTCAGAATGCCAATAATTTTCATCGATAATCTTGCAAAGAATGAGGTCGTCATTACTTTGACACAGTTCTAGTCCTGCTTTTCTGGAGCAGGACTGGCAGGGAAGGTTGTTTGGGTTGTGCACTGCACAAGGGTACCTGGCTGCAGGGAGTGTCCTGGCACGGGGCTGTCTACCCTAGGTGAGGGGCACCTTTTTCTAATCTGCATGAAAGCATATATAAGCCAGTGGTGGCCCTGCTTTTTGTGTCCTCAGGGTGTGTGCACAGGGGGCTGGGCTGGGGAGGAGGGGAAAGTGAGCAATGTGTGGCAGGCTGTGTTGCCGCTTGATCCGTCTTAGATCCAGATTGACAGATGGTTTTCTCATTTCAAGAGCCAGTCGAGTGGTTGGTGGTAGCTCCTGGAAATCCCTGTGAGAAGGATTGGAATCTTCGTGGGAAAGAATGCTGGGATCGATTAGCAATGTCTGCCGTGGGTGCTGAAGGGGAAATGAGGGTACAGGTGCCGACTCCACCGTAGGAAGCCATCTTCTCAGTCTTCTCTGTCTGAGAAACGGGGTTAGGAGAACATTTAACCAAAAAAAGTAACTTCTAAAATGTCACCAAACCCCGGTGGTTGGGGATTTGTAAATCCTGGAAGTGTTTTATGTATCCGCGCTCACTGCGGTTTCTGGTCCTGGAGTTGATCTCAAATCCTGGGCGTTTACCTGCTGTCCCGCAGGTTTGGGGGACTTCTGGGGGTCGTGACTATACTCCCAGAAGCCCTTCTGCGGGCTGCCTTTCTGGAAGGCTGGTTTGGGTGGGGAGGACCTCAGGGAGCAGCGGGTTAGCAGTCTGCACCTAGTTCGCCTCGGGGCCCTGTCTTGGGACAAGGCGGGGGGCCCATCTCACCGCTGCTGTCAGCGCCGCTCTCTCCCCGCCCCCTCCCCCCCGTGTCTGGGCGCCATCTAGTGGTGGGATTGGGTTCAGGTGACTTCATTTTTTTTTTTTTTTTTTTTTTTTGTGAGGAGGATCAGCCCTGAACTAACATCCGTTGCCAATCCTCCTGTTTTTGCTGAGGAAGACTGGTCCTGGGCTAACATCTGTGCCCATCTTCCTCTACTTTATATGGGACGCCGCCACAGCACGGCCTGACAAGCGGTGCGTTGGTGTGCACCCGGGATCCGAACTGGCGAACCGCGGGCTGCAGAAGCGGAGCGTGCGCACCCAACCGCTTGCGCCACTGGGCTGGCCCCCAGGTGACTATTTTTAAGGGTGACCCCCGGGGATAGCTCCCTGCTTTTTCCAGGTCAGCTGGAGGCCTGCTTCCTCTGTTGCCCCCATGATCTGGGGCCAGAGTCCAGCCCCACTGTCTGGGCTGTGGGCTTGTCCACCCGGGGTGAGCCTGGTTCCAGGGGCACTTGCCGGCAGGACGTCCGTGCCCTCTGCCCTGCCCTCGTGCACGGCCCAGCCTGACGCCGCGGGTCTGCCCGTCTTCCCGTTTCGTGGCTTGTGTGCAGAGATGCCCCCTCTGAGTTTCACTGTCACGTGGCACACGGATCTTGGATGATCCGTGTGGGCACGGGGAGACAGCACTGGTCGGGGGCCTGGCTCTGTCCTTGGGAGGGGGTAATGGAAGCTGGTGCTGGTCGCGCTGTGCCTTCCGGCCACGAGCTGGGGTCCCGCAGATGCTCTGGGGGCACTCGCGGGTCCCCCAAGCTCACGTTCCCCCGTCAGTTGCAGAGCCTCTGTCCGAGGGAGCCCCAGGCCTGAGTTCAAGACTGAGCTCGGCTCGGCCGCATTGGCTAAGGGGCTGGGGCTGGTGGGTCGCCTGGTCTGCAGTGCTCCTGGGGTCCCCCCCCAGCCGGGTGCTCCAGGGCTCGGGGATGAGGTCCATTTGAGGAAGGCCGTGTGCTGCGCTCTGGTAGGTGTGTCTGTGGTTGTGGCCGCAGTGGCTCTGGTCACTGCTCAGCGCCCTTGCTGGGCAGGAGGTGCCGGGGGCTCAGCCCTGCCGGACCCTGGCGTCCCCCAGCGCAGTGGCAGGGGTTGAGGGCGCCTGGATCCGGTATCGCTGCCCCGATGGAGGGGAGGGAGGATCCCTGTGGCCGGGGTCCACGGAGGCCCCGTGCCTGCACGGGCTGAGTGTTGGCAGGAAGCTGGGTGGAGGGAGCGGGCCTGGGGGTGAGCGGAAGGTGGCCGGAGCGGCAGGGCGGCAGGGGGGCCGGGGGCGGGCCGGGTGGTGTGGGGCCTGTGGCCTGAACCTTGGGCGCGGGGCTGCACGCACCACAGAGGAGCAGGGCCTGGGGTCCGAGTCACCGAGGGGCCGGGAGTCGGGTGTGTGGGTGAAGTGGGGACCTGGGTGGGCACCAAAGCCCCCACCCACCTGGGGGCCCGCGTCCTGTCCCCTGGCACTCGCAGCCCCAACGTGGGGAAGGTCTCACCTCCTACTCCGCCCAATTTGGGGCCACTGGCCGCCCGGAGCCTCCGTGGCCAGCTCCTCCCTGGTCCTGGTGCCTGTCTGCCGGTCTCCCCGTGACCGGGAAGGGCCGGCGCTGGCAGGGCGGCCCGCACACCTGGGCCTTCTCGCGTGAGGTTCCCGTGGTCCCGCCGTCCTGATGGAGGGCCCCCCCACCATTGGGGAGCAGCCCAGAGGACAGAGTGGCCATTTCTGAGGTTGGGGAGACAGGAGGAGCAGGTGCAGGGTGAGGTCACGAGTTTGTTTTGCTCACGTGTAATAATAATAAATCATAACAACGATGACGATAACACAGAAGAACTGCGGACTCAGAGAGATGTTGCGAGAGCAGTGAAAGTAACTTTTCCTGAGTCTTGAGAGGGAGGGTCTGCAGCAAACAAGGACCCCTCTGCCAGGAGCCCAGACCGCCAGGAAACCTGGGACCTGCCAGCCGGCGCTCGCCCCATTCACGCCCGCCCTGGGCCCCCGTTTCGAGCCTCCAGTTCCGGTCCCGAGGGCCTCTGGTCGTGTCTGATCTCCCCGACAGGCGCTCAGTCTTCCTTGACTTGATGACCTTGACGCCTCTCAAGGTCAGCCAGTGATCGTGTAGAACGGCCCCCAGACGGGGGGTTCACGTGAGGTTTCTCGCAGCGAGACTCAGGTGCTGCGTTTTTGCGGGAAGATCACAGCAGCGCGTCCTGGCAGGCAGTGTGCGCTTCCAGCTTGTCCCGTGGCTGGTGTCCACTCTCGTCGCTGGGTTCCCGTGTGGCTGCCCGGCTGCCCGGTGACTTTCTCCCGCCGTAGTCAGTGAGTGGGGAGCTGCTTTGAACTGTGCATGTCCTGCTCCTTGTCAGTCTTTCTTGAGTCACTTCTCCTCCCCTCCTTCCGTCCTTCTTTCCTTCCGTCTGTGTGGACCGTGGGTCCTTTACTCGGTGGGTTACAGTCTGTTACTGTATCTAATTTGATGTTCAAGTTGTTCTCATTGGGCCTGTGGAACCCCTTCATCCAGCGTCCCTGTGCTCGGTACCTACCATCCTGTGAATGTTTCTTTGCTTTCTGGCATGAAAAGATGTTCCGGACTCATCTTCAACCTTCCCTGCCCCATCCCTGGAAGGAGCCATTTCTCCAAGGAGCCCTGTTCCTTTAAGTGGAGAATGGGATCTAGGAATCAAGATGTGGTGTGAGGTGTGCTCACTGCTCCTGGGGTGCTCCTGCACCCAGGTTCTCTTGGAGGACAGAGCTAGGGAATATATGCATCTATCAGTCTGTCTGTCTACCCACCCCTCCATCCACGCATCCATTCATCCACCCATCTGCCCACCCACCCAACCATTCATCCACCTATCATCCATCCATTCATCCATCTGTCCATCCATCCATCCACCCACCTACCTACCCATCCACCCACCTATCCATCCATCCACCCACCCACCCATCCATTCATCCACCCACCCACCCATCCATCCATCCACCCACCTACCTACCCATCCACCCACCTATCCATCCATCCATCCACCCACCCGTCCACCTGTCCATCCATCCATCCACCCATCCATCCACCCACCCACCCTGTTGACAACTATGAAATTACACCAATACCTCCAATTTCAACCCAACATCATGGGGTACATTCTGGTTTTCTCTCTCTCCATAGTTGTAAACCCTTTCTGAATGGTTCCCCTTCTCCTTAGTCTGTGCACTCACACAATCAATTCCTCTGTAAATAGTCTCCCACCACTGCTGCCACCGCCTCCCCACAGAGATGCCCTCCTCACCCCACTGTGCCCTGTGGATGCCCTCCGGCCAAAACCTCTGGGAAGGAGCTTTCCAGATGGGGGCCCTTTATGAATTAGGAACAGCAAAATCTACATTTTACTGGAGAGCCTTGCCAGCTCATTGAGACCAAACAAATAACTAAATAAACAAACAGCATTAGAAGAAATGTCTTTATTCACAAATAATATGATTGTCTGTATAGAAAAGCCAAAATTATTAAGCATAGTAAGAACTCTGCAAAATGGCTTGTTGTAGGATTAATACAGTGAAATCAATTGCTTTTTTAAACAC